GTGTCATGTACGATGATGTAAGTGGTCTTTGGATACAGTGTGATGTATGCGACGAGTGGATAGATTTTCAATGCACTGAACTGTCAGATAAAGATAAATTACCTGAAACTTATGTGTGTCAAAATTGTGGACATAATTAATGTATTATGATGTTGTACAAGTGTAATAAAGTTTGTCTCATAATTGTCTCTTAAATGCAGCAGTGTCTCACAATTGCATCATTTGGGCTTGTATAGTTGCAATAAAATTTCTATTAAAGGCAAGTAGTTACCTTTTAACTTTTTTGTTTTGCAGTGTCCTGTATACTTAAATAAACACTGAAAAAAGTTTCATTCTCATAACTAATGTGTTGCTTGAGTTAGGATATCATAAAGTTATGTGTCTCATAATAGCCCCGCCTACTCTACTGAAGTTTGGAAATCTCGTACACAATTAAGACTGGTGTCGGACCCCTCGCACACAATGGACAGTTACTGGTAAAAAGCTTCAGTTTTCTACACTTATACACAGTTTATGACACAATAATCAGGCTCAATTTGTTGTATACAAACTTGATAGTGAGAATCTACAGTTTAAAAGACTCTGACAGATCTTCCTGGAGAACAGGACCTCGTGTAAACAGTCGCGGTAAGCGATGTTTGAGCTACCATATCTCAGAAATTAAGAATTTAAGACAAATTTCCTACAAATTAAATGAATAAAAACTTTCAATCTATCGTTTGGTATATTCTATTGCATTATTACCTTCGTCATGAGAGAGTTACCCGGAATCCTGACTACGTTTAGCAACATTACTGGCTCATGCTGCCAAGGAGAAGACAGATGAAGAAGTAAACTGAAGAAAAACTACTTTTGGCAATTATTTTATTTGACAGTGGGACTCCACAGGACCTGAGCAAAGAGCAGCAAGGATTTGAAAACAGAGAAAAAGACGCCATATTGCGAACACACACACACTGACACGACGAGCGCAGTACCCTCGCCTATACGCCTACGGCGTGGGCGAGGGCAATTAAAGGTGCGGCTGGAATGAAAGGTGCCGGTGTGGCTCAGCTCAATCAAAATATGCACCACCCAGTTTAGTAAAAATGGTGCCATGTGGCTAGGCTTGCGCATATTAGGCGAGCATAATATTGAGCATAATGAACCACACTAGGAATTAAGCATTATTCTAGAATAGTCAATTAACTTCAACCATGTGACAGCTCACTGAGTCAGTACTCACTAAAGTGAGTAGTGATAAAAAGTGTTAACATGGCTGCTCAAAGTACTACACGCTCTTCGTCCTCACCTCTTTCTACCACACTGGCTCCAGAGGAAAGCAGCACCGGCACGACCGATGTTACCCTGTTGTCTAGTGACTCAGACGATGTAGATCTATCTGATTCAAGCAGCGAGGTAAACACATTTTTAAGCAAGTTTAAGGCTCCGCGGCTATCTGACCTTACAAGGAAAAGAAAAATCAGGAGAAATCAAGTCACCCCGAGAAGAAAATCAAAACCATCCTGCTCAACTGATCCTAAGTCTGTAACACCTCATCAGAGATTAAAAGAATTCCCTAATGAAGAATTTACTGTTTCAGCTGGGAAACTGTTTTGCACAGCTTGCCGAGAAGAGGTTTCTCTTAAGATGAGCATTATTAATAATCATATTAAAGCTACTAAACATGTTCGCGGAAAAGAGAATTTGTCAAAAAAGGAGTCTCGGGAACATGATATTGCTCAAGCATT